TGGCAGCTGGGCTGCTTGTCCCCCAGACACTCTGGGACACGGTATAGGGTGACAGCAGCTGTAACGAGGAGCCCTGAGGAGATGGCATGGGTGGCAGATGCCAATGGGGATGGCGGGATGACAAGAACGGGAAAGCAACCACAAAAGCACGAGGCCCGTGTCGTGTCCGAGCGAGCTCCTGGCTGGAGTCATGGAAATGACCAGTAAGAGTCTGGGAGGAGGAGCAGGAAAGGGAAACTTGAACGGTCCCACTAATGGCGTCCCGTTTGTTCACACAGGCTGGCGAGGCCCCAAAAACCCAGGGAACACACAATTTATCCATCACCTCAGCAGGCACTTCCTAGGTACCTATAGGTGCTGGGGACGCGTCAATGAACAAGAATGCTCCTGCCCCGAAAGGTCTCATGGTAGATAGAGAAGCACGCATCTTTTCCTATCGCGTATGAAATACTTGAGACATCAAATTTAGTTTTTCATGCATAAATTATTGTTGGTACCTGTTCCTGGTGTCCACTGTCATCCTCAGTCAGTTCTTGGGCAGGTGGTATATGATGACATCAGGATTGTTTTTCCTATGGGCAACAAAGATGCTATTTACTGCCCATCCCCACCCCTCAATTTTGTAGGAGGAGGTGAAAAAATTCACCTTCAGCAAGTTAAACCAACAGAATCAACATAAAATGGATGAGATCAGCCACATTAAGGAAAGGAAGCATCTTGTTTCTTTTTGTTGTTTAATTTGGACTTGGGCGCAAGGAATTAGATTTATCAGAATCCTTGGTTCAATACACATACTCTTAAGTGGCCCTGTTTCTTAATGTTTGATAAAAATGATAATAATCCACCACCCAACATGAGATCCAGAACCTGAGGAAACTTACATCTTCCTCAATCTTCTCAACCCTGGTCCCACCTGTCACCTGACGAATTCACTGTACTGAAACTTCGGTTTCTCATTCTCCTGCTTTCTTAAAATACAGGTGCTTTTAAACCCGTAAAAATCACATATGTGCTCTCTAATTATAGATACATACATCCACATAGTTAAAATATGGTTTTATCACGTATGTGTTCTTCAATATGTATATGTTAACGTATGTACCCGTGTGTGTTCAGAGAGAGTTTTAGTTGTCTTTCACTTTATACGAAAGAGCAAATCGTGCCATAAATCACTGTTTCTGGGACTTGCTATTTAGTCAATAATACACTTCTAGGATTCATCCACGTTACTTTATGCAGCTGTAGTTTATTCCTTTTCACTGTCATAGAAGCTTTTCCGCTGTGCCATGACATTGATGTACCCATTGTCTTGTCTAGTGGGTATTTGGGTTGTTTCTGTGTGTTGGTTTTTACCCTGTATAATGGAAATTTTTAAACGTACTCAGAAATAGAGAGATTGGCGTAAGGAACGCCCCACGCGCCATGACCGGTGTCAGCAACAATGATCATCAGTACACGGCCGATCTTATTTCACCACCTTCCCCCCAGCCCTGGATTATGGTGAAGCAAATCTCAACTCTGTCCATCAGTATCTCTATATGTCTCTTAGGAAGATAAAGACTCTTCTTTCAAAATGTAACCATCCCAGTATCACACTTATTCTGTGACAGTATCACAAATCAGTGCCCCAGATTCCCCGACTGTCTCCTACTTTTTCTGACGGTGGGACCCATGCTCCAAATCTCGGGGAGGAAATGCGTAAGCCAGCAGCCAGGTGGGGTCTGGAGGCAGGGGCTGCTCTTCTGGCCGCACTCAACTTCTTTTCTGGGTCATGGATGAAGCCGCCCAAATCTGAAGGAGGGACGAAGAGCCCTGGAGGAGGGGTCCCGGGAAAGAAGCGCGATGAACGCCGCGTGATGACACCCGAGCCTGAAGACACAGCAAGGGAGAAGCACCTGGAGCGGCTATTCGCAAAGCCCCCAGCTGTCCTCCATCTCCAACATTGCTTTCCTTTCCTTCCCATTAAAGTTCCTGATTGATGCTAAAGGGCCTCTGTCTGCCCCTTCTTACTTCCTTCTCTCTTCTCTTCATCTGCTTGGAAAACAGGCAAAAAGAGGAGAGACGATAGTAACAGGGAATACAAACATTAAGGGTCAAACCCGCCCATAATTTCCTTGTCTAGACCAGCTGTCAGCACACCTTTTCTGTAAAGGGCCAGAAGGTTAATACTCCAGCCATGGCCCCACTACTCAGCTCTGCCTGCCGACAGCCAGAGCAGCCGTGGACGGTGTGTAAACAGACAGGCCTGGCTGTGTCCTGATAAAACCTAATTTATAGAAACAGAGGCCAGGCTGGATTTTGCCAGAAAACTAGTTTGTTGACCTTTGGTCTAAACAATACCACTATATTTATTTCTGTCTATTCCTCCTATTTTTTTCTTGGGTGGGGCGCCGTGCAGCTTGTAAGATCTTAGTTCCCCGACCAGGGATCGAACACGGGCCCACGGCAGTGAGAGCACGGAGTCCTAACCACTGGACCGCCAGGGAATTCCCGCTCCTGTGGTTTTTGATTATTAAAGAGCTGGCACTCCAGGATCAGTCCTGTTATTATCCCCATTTTTCAGATGAGAAGACTGACCTTCTACAAGATGAAAGGACATGTCCAGGATCACGGAGGCACCACCCGGCACTGCCTCCACCACTGCTCCTGTAGCCCCTGCCTCACCTACACCCGACTGACATCAACATGCTTGCCCTCTGCTCCAGCTAGCTATGGTTCTAATCCTTAGGCCAGAATGGCTCCATCTGCTAGTTTATTAAAGGGAAACAACTTTAACCTGAGGGGCTGGAGGGCCATGCCCCGGAGGCTGGTTTCCCTGGTAACCGATGAGCCTCCCTAACATCAATTCTCTCTATAACTTGTAGCCTCCTTTCTCCCCGGAGCAAGGAAGACAGTTGCCGTGTCCTGTGTGCCATCTGCCATCCATGGTGGGTGTCGCTCCAGGACCCTTTGCTTCTGATGTGTAAGATCCCCCGTTCAACAAACCACTGATGTCTCTGTCGCTGTCTCCAGGCTTTCTTGGGTCTCGAGGCTGGGCAATTACGCGGCTTGTAGGCCTGTGGGGTGCAGCCCAACAATTGTTTAAAACAATTGTTGTTTTGTATATAAAAGGCTTTCCTTAACATTACAAATACTCTGGTCTCACAATCTTGATAATTATCATTTACAGCTGATCATAATTTCTCACCACCAGGGGGTTAAGTTTCACTGAACTCTTTCACATGTCTAATCATCATCTTTTATTGAATCAGGCCCTAAATCCCCAGGAGTAGCAGTGCTGGGCATTGCTATGACCCTTGTAGTGGGGTACCGCAAAGGGGAGACTTGTGGCATTTGCCGATTTCGGTGGTGTAAATACTCCCACAACAGCTGATTTTAAGCTACAGCATGACATCACTCAACAGAGTTGGGAAGAGGTGCCACACTAGGCTCTTTAAGAAGGTGCCAGCTGGTCCCAGCACCCCACTGGCTTCACATATATGCCTGTCACCTCCCAGTGCCAGTGTATACATGGGATCATAGAGAGTGAGGGTGACTGTTTTGTAATGACCTTGGTATCACCTTTTAACACTGGATAGTATGTGAGTGTTTAGGTATCTCAATGTTGTTTAATTGATATCTCTGATAATTACTGAAACCACGGTTCCTTGGTGTTTCTTCTCCCAATTCCCTACCCATGTTCTTTCATCTGTTTGGTTCTGATGCCTTTCTTAAAACCTTGAACAGGGCTTCCCTGGTGGCGCAGTGGTTGAGAGTCCGCCTGCCGATGCAGGGGATGCGGGTTCGTGCTGCGGTCCGGCAAGATCGGCCCATGAGCCATGGCCGCTGAGCCTGCGCATCCGGAGCCTGTGCTCCGTAACACGAGAAGCCACAACAGTGAGAGGCCCACGTACCGCAAAAAAACAAAAAACAAAAAACAAAAAAAGCCTTGAATAACTTTGTTATAGTTATTAATGCCTTGACCTTGCTTGGCACAATTTCTTTGATGTGTTGCTTTTATTATTTTATTTTTTTATGCAGAAATTGTAACATAATGAACCCTGTCCATCTTTACTCCAGTGATTCTTTTATTGCTAGTGAACACAAGACAATTCATCCTGTTTTCGTCTATTCTACAAATAATCATTAAATGCCCAGTGGATGACAGGCTTGATTTGAGGTACTGGGGATACGGCCGTGACCAAAATAACGTCTCTGCCCTCAAGGAGCTCCCATTCTGGTGGGGAAAGCAGAAAATAAACAAGCAAATATATAATGGAAGGTCTGGTGGTGATAAGAGCTATAATGACACAAAGCAAAGTTGGGGGGAACAGAGAGGGTTGGAAAGGGACTCATAGGGGCCTCTGGGAAGGTCACATTTGAACAAAGACTTGAATAGGTGAAGGAGTGAGTCATGCCTATTTTCCCGCCATTTGATTTTTAAAATTTAACTCATTAATTTAGCTGGAATTTAGTTTTGGCATATTACATAAAAGAGGCTCTGATTACTTTGTTCTCAACGTGTGTGCAATTATCTCAATACTCCCCCATTCTCTTTATTTTCCGAAGTTTCGTTATGAAGGCGAATCCATTTCTCAGTCTGCTAGTATGTTCTAACGTATTTTTCTGACCATCTATTTGAATTACTATTTTTTGGATCGTCCTTTTAAAAAGCACTTACCTTCTTTAGTATTTCTAAACCATCCTTTCCAGTTTCAACATGAAATTCCACCTTCCCGAAAGGAAAACCCTGTCTTTATCTTTGTATCTATAACACCTGCCATAGAGCATAACTAAAGCAGACTTTGAACACATTTTTGTGAAATGAATGAATGAATTCCAAAACTCATTTAGGTGTTTTCACCTCTTATTCAAAGAGCACCTCACGCCCACCCATGTGCACATTGGCCCCCGTGATTCAGATTCAGAATAAACTTTACACGTCCACTTCAGTCTTTTACTATAAACCCACTATAAACACAGCAGCTCTGTTAAACAACTGAGGAAAAGAACAGCGTCCCTCAAGAGCCAGGGCTGCTTGCGGAAGAAAGGACATCGTTTGACTTGAAGTATTTTATTTCCTTTATTTTACTCGGATAGGACTGAAAATCTGACAGCTGGTCTTTAACTCCATCATCAAACCATAGGCTTTTCCAGTTCTGCGTTTACACCGTCTGTGCATCCATATTCCCGCCAAAACCAAGAAGATGAGGGAAAGGGGGGCCAGTGTAATCTCCCAGGAGAACGTGGCAGCTGTAGGAAGAACAGACATGTGAGGGGTGAACACGCTCCTACCACCAAATAGGACATTGCCGTGCCCTCTACAGAGAAGGAAGTGGTGTCTGTCACTTCTAATAAACAGGTACTGATTTTCAGAAAGTATGTCTTACACCAAGATCAAGGATACTTGAGAATGATATCTGTGGCATTAGGCAAACAAGCAAGGTAGGACAAATATCCATTGGAGAGAAGCAATGCAGAGTTGGGGGTGTGTGCAGGTGTCGATGGTCTAATTTTGTTCTACCCGTTGGGCTGGGTGCAATAAGATGCCTGTCTAGGTCTATGCTAGCTGACTGTGACGTGGCCAGCACATAATTTGCCCTTTTCCATGAGCATGGGTGTCATGAGGAGTCAGTAAAGTAACAAAGGAAAAGAAAAACTTTGAATAAAGGAGCTTTAGGTGTCAAGATTATCGCTTGGATCCAGCTATTTTATATTCTACTCCTTGGCATCTCTGTGTTATGAAAATATAAGCAGCAATCCCTGGTGGCGCAGCAGTTAAGAATCCGCCTGCCAGTGCAGGGGACACGGGTTTGATCCCTGGTCCGGGAAGATCCCACATGCCGCGAAGCAACTAAGCCCGTGCACCACAACTACTGAGCCTGCGCTCTAGAGCCCGTGAGCCACAACTACTGAGCCCGCGTGCCACAACTACTGAAGCCCACATGCCTAGAGCCCGTGCTCCGCCACAAGAGAAGCCACCGCAATGAGAAGCCCGCGCACCGCAAAGAAGACTAGCCCCCGCTCACTGCAACTAAAGCAAGCCTGCGCACAGCAACTAAGAGACCTAACCCAGCCAAAAATAAGATAAATTAAAAAGTTAATTTATTTTAGAAAATATAGGAAGTATGGATAAAAAGTTAACAAGTGTTGAGGAGGAGGGATAAATTAGGAGTTTGGGACTGACATATACACACTTCTATATATAAAACAGGTAACCAACAAGGACCTACTGTATAGCGCAGGGAACTCTGCTCAATATTCTGTAATAACCTATATGGGAAAAGAATCTGAAAAAGAGCAGATACATGTGTATGTATAACTGATTCACTTTGCTGTACACCTGAAACTAACAGAACATTGTAAATATACTCTAATATATAATAAAAATTAAATTTAAAAAAAGTTAACAAGTTCATGGATGATGAGGCTAGAATTCTACTTTTTTTTTTTTTTTTTTTTTTTTTTCTGTTCTGGGGTCCTCACTTGTTTGG